ATCTGTGTATGTGAACATGTCCATTAATGCATATGCAAGCATATTATTTATTACTAAAATCTAAAGATGGTATACTTCTACATATATTCACCGTAAGTCATCTACGTAGTTAGTGCATGGATATCAAATATTATTCATTTACTTCAATGACCAGGCCGAAAACATTATTATATGTATATAATGAAAAATTATATTGACTCATAGCCGAAATCTTTATATGGGTATTAATGTGAAGTAAGTGCATATTTTTCTATATACTTTTATTTATAAGATCTAACTTTATAACTCATGCAGCTAGTCATGTGACTCATGTAAATAATTGCCTCATGTATACATGTATGCTAAATAACTAATGGGTACACGGTTAAATATTTATAACTCATTTTGAGGCTGTCCTAACGTGTAGTTTAATGTGACAACCAACGCATGCATATTAATCATACTGATATGTACTTCGTATATACTTATGTTAATGCTATACAAGCTCCCTAATTCAATTTTACGTAATTCGACTAATTCTCCTATTTTTCTAAAAAGTATAGGGCACATACACACATGCATGTAATCATAGTTCGATCTATATCAATCGTAAGGCCAGGTATATTATTCTAAGTAAAATAGATCTTCTTTTACATTCTCAATACTTATGTATCGAATCGTTATAATAAGCTAACCATAAATTTTAATCTATTTTTCTTCTGAAATACGCAGCTAAATTTTATTTTTAGTTGACATTCATATTGATTAAAAAGGTATTTACTATTAGATCAATTATTTTGTATTCACAAGCAATCATTCTTATAAATTTGGAGAGCACTATTTAAAGCATACAGAGCATATCTAAAACTATATGATATTCATCACCATCCCCATAACATAAGAGAAACGGGGACGGAAATTATACTGAAATAAACATATTGGAATACCCATTAAATAAATGGGGGTGAAAACGTACTAACCTTATTGAAAAGAAATTATCAGAAATCTGACTACGCAGGGAAGTCCTCCTTACGACACTGATTCTTCCATCACATTAGCTAGCAACTAGTTCTTCTCTTTAAATTTATTTATTTATTTTTCTCTCGGCCACTTATGACAAGCCATTGAAAAATATCTGGTTGTATGACCACATGCATATAAATATATATGCAAGGTCACTTTTACCAATCCTGGACGTATTATGGAGATGGAGCCAGTTTGCATTTTATTATCCTCCTATTCTACCAGTACGCATGGCGTTACTATATGAGGAGTGTACTGAGGTTGCCAAGTGTGATACTTCATGCATGCTGGAACAATTTAGTCATACACATGCTAGTGCATAGACTTCCAAGTGGATTATACCATGCATTCTAGGACAAACAATGCTACTCCATACGGTGACCTTTGTTTTGGAGTTAAGGGAAATATGTTTCTCAAATTATAATTAATAGATCATGTTATTTTGTAACATTCAACTTTCGTAACTAAATTCACGAGTTTACAAAGACCTGATAAATATTTATCAACATTTAGTTTCGAATGTCATTCAAGTTTATTTTAAAACGTTTCTTTTATCTGTATATTCTCATTTGTCGAATTTCTTCATCTAATACTATTTATTTACTAATATTTATTGTCTATTTACTGATAATTTAACTTCTAAAATTAGTTAACGAGAATGGGTATTATTTCAAATTTACGTTACCGGCTAGACCGGATTTTCGGGGTGTTACATTTCTCTCCCCCTTAAAAGAATTTCGTCCTCGAAATTACCTTAATTGATGTTGTCAAACAAGTGTGGATACTGAGCCAACATTGCTTCTTCAGTTTCCCAAGTTGCTTCCTCCGTGGTGTGGTTCCTCCAGAGGACTTTCACTAAGGGAACCTTTTTGTTCCTTAACACTTTTGTGTCTCGGGCGAGTATCTGCACTGGTTCTTCTTCATATGTCAAATCCTTATTGACCTCGACAGACCCAGGTGTTAGCACATGTGAAGGATCTGATCTGTATCTTCTTAACATAGATACATGAAAGACGTCATGTATTTGGCTCAATTCCGGTGGCAATGCTAGTCGGTAGGCTACTGGACCAATACGTTCGGTGATTTTGTATGGCCCAATAAACCTTGGACTTAGCTTTCCCTTCTTACCAAAACGTAGAACCTTTTTCCAAGGAGACACTTTTAAGAAAACTTTTTCTCCAATAGCATACTCAATATCACGACGCTTCAGATCAACATATGACTTTTGTCTATCTGATGCTATCTTGAGTCGCTCTTGAATCAGTTTGATCTTCTCCTCTGTCTCTTGAATCAAATCGGGCCCAACGATCTTTCTTTCACTCAGCTCTGTCCAACAGACCGGAGTTCTACATTTCCGACCATATAGAGCTTCATATGGTGCCATTTGAATGGTAGCTTGGTAGCTATTGTTGTATGCGAACTCCATAAGAGGTAAGTATTTCTCCCAACTTCCCTTGAACTCAATTGCACAACCCCGCATCATATCCTCAAGAATTTGAATAACTCTTTCAGATTGACCATCTGTCTGTGGATGAAAGGCTGTGCTAAAGTTCAATTTTGTACCAAGTGCCTTTTGTAAGCTTCCCCAGAATTGAGAAGTGAATCTTGGATCTCTATCAGATATGATGGACAGGGGTATCCCATGTAGTCGGACTATTTCTTGAATATACAGTTCGGCCAACCTATTTAAGGAGAAATCTTTTCGAATGGGTATGAAATGAGCAGATTTGGTAAGTCGGTCTACAATTACCCAGACTGAATCATTCTTCTTTGGTGTCAATGGTAATCCCATCACAAAATCCATAGTTACCCGATCCCATTTCCATTCTGGTATTGTAATAGGTTGTAACAATCCAGATGGAAATTGGTGCTCGGCTTTAACCTGTTGGCAAATGAGACACTTCGAAGTATACTCAGTGATATCACGTTTCATACCAGACCACCAATAAAGGTTCTTTAAATCTCTAAACATTTTGTTACTGCCATGGGAAACTTACGATTGTGACTACATCACCTAGATTTACAACCACCTTTCATATGTGTTTGTCGGTCATTTATAATAAGAAAATATTGTTTGTACGTGTTTTTTAAACACACTATTTTACACGCTGATTGAATTGTCTTTGCATATTGACAGTATCTTTTTGTTCAATGAAGAAAATTGTTTTTTCGTATAAAACAATTTATAAAATTGTCTTTTTGTTTTTTGCCTGTGCCACATATAAAAGAAAATTTATCGGTGCGAAAAATAATTCTCTTCACAAAACAAATATCTGTATATTGAGTAATTATTAATAATACGTAAGCCCCATTTGGAGACCATGATTTTCGGCTTATCAGGATTATCGGTTAATTTTTCACCAAACACATAACTTCTGATTTCGTGTCCTGATTTGGAGACAAAGTAAGGTTGCAGTTACTTTTCTGGCTGTATTGGCTGAAGTTACTGTAGAAGATTATTTTAGCTATTTATTCACATAACTTTTTTTATCTTATTAATACGGAGTAAAAAATATTTCAAATATAATTTTTTTAATAAATCAGCAGAATCAGTTAATCCAATCATGACAACCGATTCAACTAATTCGCAATCAGAAAATTTAATATATTTCAGAATTTCATAAATTTAAGCAATCATCAGCTACTGCCCGTCCTCGTGAACACGAAAGCTACAATCTGTCAAAGTAATATGGTCCGTTCAAGTGTCAAGTGTTGCTGTCTTATGTTGTCGTCGGTGCATGGAAAGATCGATAATAAATTCATCTTACTTACCTCTACGGCTCTACCATTAGATGTATTAGAAATTTAGATAGAATAGTAAAAGGCTAACTATCTAACAGAAATACTTTGACCAGCAGGCGGTTAAAAAAAGGAATTTTATCAATCCGGAACCTGAAAGATAGGTGAATTATAAATTCGGGACCTGAAAGATGAAATGTATCGATATAAGGCCCGAATGATGAAAAACTATCAATCTAGGGCCCGACTTTTCATAGGTTTTGATTTATTTAATTTTTTATTAATTCCATTGCTAATATTTTGTGAATCTTTCTTCACAAAAGTTTATTAGTTTAATAAAACTAAATATTATTTAAATTTTTAAAAATAAAAAAACAATAAAATTTATGAAAACGTAGGTCCCAAATTGATAGTTTTCAATCATTCGAGTCCTAGATTAATTGCTTTCCATCATTCAAGTCTTATAGTGATATATTTCATCTTTCATGTTTCAGATTGATAATTCGTATATCTTTTAGTTCATGGACTGATAAAATTCCTTAAAAAATGTACATAGTCATTATATTAGAACACCTTAAATAGTTAGCTTCGAATTTAGTGCAATTTTATGGGAATTAGAATTTTGTCAAATACTATAGGTATTCCATCAATTTTGTTCAAAAAAGCTATGTAGTTATGTCTGTTCTCAAGAAAAAGAAATAATACGTACAACAAATCAACTTCCAAAGAAAATGGCAATTTTTTAACCCTAAATCATCAAATTAAACCAATCCACTCATACTCATGAGATTAAGACTTGAATGTTCTAATTTTACACGTAACTCAAATCTCCCACACCTACTACACCAATTGATTGGGCATATATCGAAATGATCAATTAATTTAAAATTGATGAAGTGACGATTGACCAAAAGAGTTTCATTGAAAAAGTAAAAAAGGAATCAATGAGGTGAAAAAAATATTTTTTTGGTACAGAAATTTAGTAAAATACAGTATATATTACCTCCGTCCCGCTAAGAAGTTCCCGGTTTGACTTACACACATATTAAGGAAATAAATTTATCAGGGGTAAATTTTACCGTTTTGACACTATTTGTCACTGTTTTGATGTAGATAACTTGTCAATTACGGAGGGAGTATTAGTGTATAAAATAAGTAAAAAGAATATACTCCGTATTATACCAATAGGTTGACGAAGATGACAGATCTAGAAGTACTTTTAGCCTAACATTAATAATTCAGTTATTCCTACGTAATCA